TTTCAATGAAATATCAATAAAATTAATTGTAATTCAAAAACTCTTCGAAAGATATCGGTTAGTATAGATATTGCGTGGATTAGTGGAAAATTATATTTTTGAAAAGTTAGTTCAATATTTTACTTAAATAGCTCAATCTCAATTCTTATTGATCAAGTCGATTATGTTTATTTATAGTGAAGTCCATGCAACTTTCCTTAAAGCAAATGGATACACACACCTAGTTTTTTATATCAATTTACAAAGATAATCTTGGCATTTAGTTTTATTGATAATGTACTTTTGGTGCATAATGAATTTGAAATTGAGGAACATCCTATAGGCACAGAACAGTCCCAAGACAATATTAGAAGACGATGAGTTCATAGGATGGAACAGTCTGTATATAATTTTGATATTTTAGTAATGGTTATTATCGTACATTTCTTGTTGTTTGTGATAAACTATTACCATGATGCACATTTTTATACCATAGAGTATTATTGCACATTATCATATAATAGAGTATTTGTGTGAATATATTTAGAAATACTACTGTAAGCATTTTAGATTCGTTATTTCATTTATTTACATCTTTGCAGATTATTTTTTATAATTACTATTTACCTTTTCCTACTTCTATGTAACGCTTCATCATTTATACTGAATTCATATATGTAATAAAGTGATTCTTAAAGTGGTCCATATGGACCCTCGGGGATCCATGATAACTTTCAAGGGGTCCACATCAGCAAAAGAAATATTAAATATTCACGATAATGGATCACAACTTCACAACACACCTACATCTATTTTTTATTGTTCTTTTAAAGTCAATTAATGATTGTCTAAACTTGTATTTGAATCTATGCTTTAAATGTTTAATACTAAACGTTATTACAAATAGTAATTTATAAAAATAAACGATATCGGTTAATTAGGAGACCTATGTCAAAGCCACCACTGGGTCCACGACACAAACAAGTATGTGTTGAATCAACAAATCCAAAATTTTACATACATACATACATTTAGCGTTTGCTTGCTTCTTGTAATTATCTCTTTATATAATCTCTGAACTTCATGTGGTTCAGTTCCTGAGCTTCATTTCTCTCTTGAACAATAGAGCAAGGTAGTTTCTCAGTAAAGTGTTCGAGTATTATCAGAAAGACGGGCCAACCCAAGAATTGTAAAAGTCGAATTCAAAGTCTTACCAAAAAAATGTTTTGTAATAATTTGTTCAATTTATTATCTGCGACTGCTCCTTTTTTGTAATGTATGCAGAATTGAATTATTTAAAAATTGATCTTTTTTATTGAATCAACTTATTAGGAAATAATATTAGATCTTGCTATTTTATGTACTTTAGCAGAATTCTAATTCTTGTAGTTCATGCATATTCTGTTTTATCTTCACACGAGTACATTTTCAGTATGCATGGCCATATTATAGTAAATGTAGTCGCCGATTCCAAAAGTACATCCTCAAAGGCCGTTGTGATGATTAAATTATACGTGCCATAGTTTCAGTTATAATTATGAGAGAAGTGTGCGACGACGCCATGCACGCATATAATATTATCATGTTGTGTAATATGTTCGCAAAATTGTGACAGGAAAATTATAACTCAAACGCGTTCACTGTCCGGTCAAATGCAAAAAACGGAAATGCATAATAATCAAAAGCGGTTATGGGATGGAAATTAAATTATTTGTTGATATAAATAATATTAAAACAATTATAGAGTTTAATTAAATTTTTGTTGATGACTCGCTGTAAGTAATTTGTCAGAATAATAAGATCTGACGGACTTCATCTAATTTATTTCAGTCTTAAATTTAATTTTAGTTGTACTCTGTTGAAAATTACGTATAATTTTCGAAGAAGTCTGCAATTGTTTGTCTGAATTTGTTATTTCCTTAGTAAACCGCTAACGATCAAAATTTAAAATTTGTTATTTGTTTGCACTTTAGAAAAATTGAATGGCTAAGTTATAGTAATAGCAAAAAAAAAATTAAGAAGTTTATCTTTCAGAGGTTTCTGAACATTTTGGCATACCTTTGATTTGTGTGTGTGCTTGTGTGTGCATGTGTATGTATCTGTATGTATGTTTAGATTCAATTTTTTGTCCACGGTTTTGGATGCACGGATCAAACGATTTAAATGATTAAAAAACATTCGAGTCTGATCAGCCGTTTCGAAGATACGGGACCAAAAAGGTAAAAAATGGCAATTCAGTTTTGTGGGAATAGAGCAATCCGTTTTGGATATGTACAATTTTGGATTGAAAAAATAGAAGCTTTTCAAAATTAAATTTACGGTACGGAAAGTTTTAGCAATTTGCCTTGAGACACGATGCCATGTATCACTAGTTTTAAACTAAATTTGAAGTAAACAGTTATACTGTTTTTTTATAAACTTTTTTCTAAAGTAATTTTTATATTTTACTATTCCTTGAATAATTCCATCAAAAATTTATTTGCCATCAGACAATAATTAAAATGTTATAGAAAATGATACAAATTTGAAAAGTTTTACGAATGAAATATTCGGTTTCAGTGTTGTTAAAGCAATTACGAACTATATATATTCTAAAAATATATTGTTGCAATTAAGGCTTTTCTGACTTGATTCCACTTCTTCAGAATATATCAATTTATTAGTTAAGTATAAATTAATATAAACATGGTTGTAGAAATTTATATTAAAACAGATCCGCACATCAATCTATAAGATGTTTGAGTAAAACTTGAACATTTGAACTCAATTTTATTAACAATTAGCAATTCTAGCTTGCTATTCTCAAATTTTCTTCTATTATATTTTATTCTATCCTATATGAGCCTTTCGAGAAGTCATAAAGAAATAAATAAAATATGGTAATTACTTTTATGTTATGTATTTATATCATAAATACAAACTCTTTCAAAATATTTATATACTCTAAAAATTTAATGTGCTTTAATACAATACGAATAGAATTTGTAACATATCTACTATTCAACATCGATAAACTTTTTATCATTAAACATACATATCAGTAAAATACAATACTTTTTCCATCACTTATATAATAGGAAAAAAACAAACAACTGAAATATTTTAAATTCTAATGAACGTTATTTTACAGTTATATTTATATTATCTTAATAAAATATTAAATTTTTGGTTCTTTTCTGTAGTAAAATATTTATTGGTCCACTTTATGCAGAATTCTTATATTTATTATATATTGTTTTGGTATACTTATTTTTGATTAAGGTATACCCAATTTTGATTACTTACAACATTGATATATTTAAATTTGTGTTAAGTTCTGACAAAATTATTGTTTAACTTAAATGGTTCTAATAATTACACAGCTTATTGCTTTTGAGCGACTGTTGAAATATAATACAAAATTAGATTTTGTTTGAAGGTATCACATCTATGTATAACATTTTTATTAATCTGTCAAAGCAAATGTAATAGAAAATATAGTAGGAAATATAGTAATAGAATAAGTATCAAATTCATTTTTGAGCGATTTTTCATGTATTGTTTTGTGCAATTTTTGTAAGTAAGCATATTCTTTTTGTGGAATCAATATATTATATTGTATGAAAACTTCGGCTCCTAAAAACAATTAGTTTTATTCATTTAATAATGTCGCAAGCCTCATACATTAACTGTAATATATTTCACAGTACATTTGATGTTCTAATAGTCACAAACTATGGCTAGCTATATTCATTAAGGAAATTGAAAAATGTAAATTTAAATCGAGTAAAAATATTTTAAAAATTGGTACAGCATCATCAGCCGAATTAGTATAAAGCATTGCAGTGAAATTTAATTGAAAATTTTTATTATGTGTTAAAAAATTTTAAAATTATTTTTTATAATATTAGTATTGTAATTTATTCATATCCTTGTTAAATTATATTAATATTTTAAAATTTTCATATTTAAAATTCATAAAACATTGCAACAAAGAATAGTTATAATTTTCCAATATACTTATATGTTTTATATAATATAAATGCTATAAGAAAATTGACTTTATTATTTTATGCGCATTTTAAAATATTATTATTCATATTTTGAATTTGGTACAATTTTTTCACTGTTTTATCATGGCTTTAAACTTTCTATGACTCAGCCCTTGCTCTGTAAAGTGCGTATGCTAACAGAGGCCGCCAGAGTTTTCTAATCGAAAGTTGTTTTATATTTTAAATTGAATAATATTCATAAAATCTATTTTTCCATGTATCCGATGGAATGTAAATCTTTATTTTCAATATATATTCCTAATTAGAGAATCCTGATCATAACGCACCATGAAAAATCTAATTAAGGGATGATAAGGGATATTTCTGGTATCAATTCACAGATTCTTGGCAGAAAAATATATTGTTCAATTAAAAATTGAGAACTAAACGGAACTAACGTGTTACTTGATATGTTTTTCAATACATGATAAATTATTATTACTATATTTAAATTGGCGATTTGCGTCCACATCAGGAGCTTAACATAGCTTAACATGTGCAATTTCGGCATTAAAAAGATCATCAAGCTAATTCAATTAATATAAACTACATATATTATATTATTATATTAATTAAAATTAGTTGAGTATTTTTATCAATATTTGCAATTTTAACTATGCATTATAGTATTTCAAAAATTAGTAATCAAAGGACATGCAACACAACATATATAATTCTTTAAAATTATTATTTAAAGATTAAAGATCTAGATTTCAAATATAACGGTAGCATAATATATTTTATATATTCTTATTTCTAATATTTCTCATATATACATCTTGAGCATCAAGTATTGCTTGGTCGATAAATAGCTTCATTATATTATTAGTCAATCATGTTTTCCTATTCTAGTATAATCATTTAACCATAGACAACGTATCATAAAATCTCCATTATTCTAATACAAGAATGATCATAAGAAGGTTCAAAATTACGCTAGTACAAACACGAAAAGTTTAGAATTATAAAATTGTTTTTTAATTATTCTTTCTAAAATCTGGATCTAAAATTTGCGGGCGGATACTGATATCTCGCCCTGATGGCTTGGTTTTGTCCAGGAGCTACAACGTCGCCTGGTAAATTCTGCTGCATTTTCTGATGTTTTTCCTTGATTGGCGGAGATGGTGCCTCAGCAACATCAATGACTTTAGGATTCTTTCTGTATTTGTAGTACCAATACTCAAACACTAATGTTATACAAGCTAATCCAATTCCTACGAAAATTACTATGAATACACCTCCAATGTTTTGAATTGAAATACCATCAGATTGATCTTCGGGTTTCTCACAATCCATCTTGTTTTTGTTCTTGTTCCACCACTTTTCTTTCAGTTTTTCTAGCTGACGCTTGTTTAGTAGTTGCAGAATTCTGTTTTGATAGAAATAAAAAAATATCTCAGTTCTAAATAGCAAACCAAAGGTACCAAGCACGGTAACAAATTTTTATGATTCATGCTTATAATGAAACATTAATATCATATTTTTATTCAATGTCAAATCTAATAATTGACTTTGCTAGATCAATAGTTCTAAGATATTAGTAGCAAATGAAAATAACAAAATTCAACTGACTACAATTTATTATTAATATCGTTCATATATTTTTTTATTATAATTTTAGAAACTTACGCATTATTAAATTGATCTTTTAATGGAGAACCCTGTTGCACAGCGATTGCATACGGTTTCCGAGAAAATTCTTCACCGACCATTTGCAAATCGCAGCTGATTAGCACTTGATATCTAAAGCAAATAAATGTCATCAAATTCTATTATAAAATCGGTATTTCAAATATTCAAATTCACAACGAGTAGTAATTAAAAGTTTGTTCAAAAACTGCAGATAATTGATACAGACTATTAATTCATTTCGTTTTATACCAATTTTGCCTAAAACTATGAACAAAATTATTTTTAGAAACATTGCCTAATTAATAATCTTCAATCTTTGATATTAATTTATTTAACACCAATACGTGAAAGTTATGATTTAATAAAAATTAGTTTTTTCATTAAATAGTATGCATTTTTAATGTCTTCACCCATAAAAATGTATTTGTACTAAAAATATAAGCAATTATCTTAAGCAGATTAAATTACTTGTTTCATCCTAGTAGTGTTTTTTTTCAGTTATATTTGATGTATAATATTTTTTTGTTTATGAGTCGTTTTACATATTGTTTCTTATCTGATAAATACATTCAATACCAATTTATTATAATAGACAAAACCTGCAGGATTATTTAACACTAACCTACCGACAATTCGTGTACTATACCTACCGCGCAATTAAAAAGTTATTTATTTCAGATAATAATTAATTCATAGTTTACTGTATATAAAATAAAGAAATTTTTATAAGCTTTCATCTAAATTTCCACATTTTTACCAAACAATGTACTAATACAAAATCTATTAATTTTTGGAACACTTTTGCTGGTTTCTCTTATTTCTATAGGATAATGTTTGAAAATTGTGACAAGTATTTTCTCTGTTTACTTTGTAGTAATGAAATTTGATTTAGACAATTTTTTTTAATCTTTATAAATGAATTCATTAGTTTTAGAGCAAGGAACTAATATGTCCAATTGAATAATTGAACAATCTCTCCTCTTGTCATTTCCCAAATAGGGAAACCCACTTACTATATATTTACTATTGACTTCACACTCCGCCCAGAACATTTTTCTAGATTTGTCTGGTTTGTTTGGTCTATTTTGTAAAAATTTTCACCTACATTTTGACGGAAATAACGCTATTTTCTAGCGATCAAATTGCCCGACCGCGGTAGTTAGGTCACATAACTTTTTTTTTCGGAAAATAGAAAAAATAATTAAAATCAAAGAGTGAAATGAATATCATTAGTATATTCTAAGAATTGTCCTATATTTTGATATTGGTATATTAACGTTTAAAAATGTCTAAGTTATACACAAAGTTTGAAACGGTCATTTTGACCGGCTATGGGAGGTTTAGTGTTAATATGTTTCAGCTTCTAAAATTATTATTACTACAATTCATTATTGTTGTTGTTACCTAATATCGGTTGCATCTCCTAAAAATGCGAAGCCTACACTTGATGATTTGGAGGCTCGAACTCTTGCAAGAGCCTCTTCCATAGAATTAGGAAGTCCAGCTTCCTTCATAGCTTGCCACATTTTTGTATATTTATCACTTACAGGGTAATCCCACACTGCCAACTTAGATCTTTCCACGTCGGTCAAACTGTCGTTCAGGCTCATATCTTTCCAAATTCTAGAAATAATAGTTCAAATTTAATATGTTTCTTTAGATATAATTTTTAAAAAGAGGTTATTAGTAAACAGGTTAATTTCGATAGATGTAGATATCAATACCAGTTTTTATGATTAAAAGACCTTATTTGATAGAACTAAACTCACATACAGACACGTGTGGGTTAGTTCCAAAAATTCACGTGTGCAGCGAAAGGTTGATATAGTTTTTTTACTTACTCATAAAATCTTTCTTCAATATCCGCCATTCTTTCAAAATACGTCATCGCCGATGACCCATTTAGTGGCGCATATAAAATTTTATATTGTTTGGACAAATCATCCAAAGATTCGACCGGCGTATCCAATCGAGACACAGTGAGAAAGGCAGCCAGATTAGCTGTGTATGAAGCAATTATAATAAATCTGGAAATAAAATTTTATAATATACTAAGTCTTACTATATATAATTTGTATGTTCTGTATATTCACCCAAATAACCACCACGTAGCGGCAACCAATCTTCCGGAAAGATTTTTGGGTGCCTCACCACCACCTTGAGGAGTAAGCGACGTCATGCAAAACCAAAGGCATTCTTTGATATTAAATTCCCGTTTTTCTTCATCGTCCTTATATTTTTCTCTATTGTTTTGGTAACTATATGGGCTCCATCGATCGAATACCCACATTAAGAAACTGAAATACGCAAAGTAGGTATGTAAAAATAGATCATTAAATATTAAATACAACACAATATTGATTGGGCTGTTGGTAGATAATGAGAAAGAATAGTGGGAGAAACTGAAAACGACTTCAGTAATAACTATTTATACTATATTTTTGACTTCAAATTGTTATTACCTCGTAAAGAAGTAAGCTGCTAGAATACACAACCAGACATCATTTTCTAACACAGTCAAAAACTTGAACAAAGACGTTGGCGTTTTAGGTAGTTTCATTAATATAGTGATGCCTACTAAATCATAATAAGGCACGGTAAAATCTATTACATTTTCTCTTTCGGCCATCACAGACATTGATCCAAGACCAATATCAGCCTTTTTATCCATTAATTGTTTAACTATTCCATTCCAATTTCCACTTTCATCCATGTTTCCAAATTTACCATCAGCAACAGTTTCAATTTCGTAGTCGAAGTTCACAATTCTTCTTATTTCTTCTATCAAATCTATGCAATAACCACTGAAGCCTTTGGGCGCACTAGGATCTCGTATTATAAATGGATGTTGCTGTAAAGGAAATAACATAGTCAAAAATATGAGTAGATGAGACAGTGTTACATTTTTGAAATCATAAGTATTGTAATTTATTTGCAATTAAACTTAATTCAGGGAAATATGATGTATACATAAACGAAGATATGTTATAGAATAAAACCATAAATATTTAGTCAGCTATTTACATTGTTTTAGCCTTTCAGTACTTGCAATTATTCCAAATATTAAATAACAAAACTAAAAATATATTCGTAAAGATTTTACCAAAATCAAGATATTAACTTCACGAAGGAGAAGTTTATGTTTTCATCAAAAAATTCGGTTCGCTAATTTTATGTATTCTCGACGTTTCAAGCCATTCCGAATCGAATGAGACCAAATTTGGAAAAAGTATGTGTTTGTGTGTGCGTGTGCGTGTGCGTGTGCGTGTGCGTGTGTGAACAGATTTTTTGCCGTAAATCGACGTTTTCTCAAAAACGGCTGGACGGATTTCAAAAATTTAAAAACCATTCGATGTATCTTGATGAGGGCTATTGTTTCTCAGCTTTGTGCAACGATCTGCCGACAGCTTTTTTATATTTTGAAAAAAAGTGTTAAACTTTTCGTCCACACTAAAATTAGTTTTTTTTCGTTTGTTTACATTAAAATTAGACGATTTACTTGGTATAATTATAGAGTACTTGGTCTTATGAACATACTAAACCATTAAAGCCCTACGGAAACTGGTTCAATTATAAAAATTATTGATTTATGAAAATTAGCTTTAAGAAAATACAGCGAATTAACGTCTTCTTCCGTTTTCAATTGTGTGTAATAAATCCACTCGGAATACTTTTAATTACTCATAAGTTAATATTTTTTTATTGATTAAGTTGATTATTAACACATATCGAGAAGTTCATGCAACTTGCCCCAAGGCAAAATACTAATACCAACTAGTTTCAATTGATGAATATTGATTAAAATTTCACATGAATATGAAATAGCGCATTAAAAAATGGATGTAATATCGTAATTGAAGATTTTTAAATTCAATGAATAATTTAACATTTATTTTCTGATTCCGACGAATCGTCTTTGTGATATTTTTATTTCACTTGGTTTACAGATATTGCAAGAATATAATTGCATATTGTAAGATACGAAAGAAATGTATGACGGAGAATGTTTGTGGGTTATTTGACTACCTTATATTTGACTACTAATCAAAACTTTGTTTTATAAGATATTGTGATGTATATATCTTAGCCTAGTGTTTCTAGAGAACAACCAGGTGGTTGACCAGTCTTTTTTTCTATTAGACTATTATTATAGTAAATATATTCTGCTGAAATCTATAATCTCAAGTCATAATTTCATATCACTACTTGACGTAACTACTTCATATCACATTCTTGATATGAAGCTGGCCGAGATGGGTATCGAACTTGAATCTAGGGGCTGCTAATCTACGGCCAGCTCTCAAATTGAACGTTATCTTATTATTATATATCAGAAAAAATGTGGATGAAAAATAAATAATTCTTATTATGAAATGTTTGAAATACATGCTATTTGCATTGTATACACGCGATTATTAGCAAAATCTTTATGGCGGCATAATTGCTGATATGTTGAATACAATAAAAACGGTCTATCTCGATAATAGATCTTATTACCACCATTGAGTCGCACATTCGTTACAATTGAAACCCATATAAATAATACTAATCGCGAAAACGCTCGTCGCGCAAAAGCATCGATTTATCACCTCGACGGTTGCGATTCTGTGGACAATAGCGGCAGTATAATTCCTCATGTCTTCTTCATTGTTTAACGAAAGCTCAGAATCCAGACCGGCCTTCCAAGAACCGAGTTGTATTGTACCAACCGATGAGCCTTTCATCACGGAGACGGCATTTATGTCTAGGGAGAACTGCATGAACGCGTGACCGTTGAACACTTCGCCGTCGTCGGGGTAGTGCAGTGGACCATAGGTATTCGGCTCGGGAACCTAATTAGGAAACCATAATTGTAAAAAAAATTTAAGCAAATTCTACAAATTTTCCTACAAAAGTTTGTGTTTAAAACGTTTTGAATACCCTGAATTTGCCAAACTCAGTTTAATCTAACTGGTTAACTGTTAACCCATAAAAAATTACATGGTTAAATTTTATAAACTTATGTTAATCTATAAAATTTATACATGTAATTTTTTAATTTCCTTACACATTCTTATGCATTAGCTATAATATTGTAAAATAGTTGTAAAAATTAAGTTTTCTATTTATGAAGCAATTTATCTTATAATTAGTACATGTGTAATCAGTGATTACACAACCACCTCAACACCTTACAAACAAACTACTCATGTCACTCTTCAAATTGCGATTATAAGCTTCTAACATATTTTACATTTTGTCAGATAGATTTGTCCTAAACTGTGTTATATATAACATAAATTTTGAACAAACGTAGCTTTTACTGATATTTTTAAAATAATTCGTCACGCCAGAATTGTACGTCATTTGCTTTCGATGGAATCATTTCTATACGGGTCGATTGTGATTAGTCGTCGTGTCTGTGAGATAGAGATCTGTCGTTATATGCGTACCGATATCGACAAGGAAATCAGCATAGATTAATAAACATTTTAAGGTTACATGGTAGTACAAATCTTGATTTAATAAAAAATGCCTGAATCAGAAGAATATTTTACCCTCATTCCGTGAAAATGATAAAAGAACTAGTGGTGTATGGCATCGTGCCTTAAGGCAAATTGCTGGAACCTTCCGTACTAGAATTATATATTTGAGGGGAAAAAAATCAGTAAAAATTGATCAAAGATTTACAACAATTGTTTTATACTTTTTCGAGTATGGAGATAATTATAATCACTATATATTTTATCGTTCATAAAATATACAGGGACGATCTTGTCGCTCGAGAAAGTTTACATTAGCAGGAGGAAGTATAAATCTTTGTATATATTTGAAAATTTTGAAATTGTTTTCGGAAAATTTTGAAATTTGCTTGAACCATATAAGTAAACTTTTAAAATTAAAAATCTTGGGACGGAACCCAACAAAATTGTAACAATAAAATTAGTACTCATTTTTGAAAACTTCATCAAATATCTGATAATTTGATGTGCATACATTTAATGTTTATTTTTGACCACCAAATATCATGTTTTTTTACTTTTTCCTCTGTTTCTCCAAACCCGCTAGACCTGCGTTACCAAAAATCTCAAATCATCAATTATTCAATTCATCATTACATGTAAAATGTTATTTGAATCATTCAAATCGAGTACTCGGTTTTCTAAAAAACTGAATTACCGTTTTTGGCACTTTTTGCCCCATATCTCCGAAACGGCTAAACCTGTCTTTACTAAAAACTAATCAGCAAGTCTTCATATCAATAGGTATCTAATGTTTTTTGAACCATTCAAATCGGTTGATTTGTGCGCCCGAAATCGTGGACAAAAAATTGAATCCGAACATACATACATACTACACACACACTCACATACATCCATTTTTTTTAGGTATGCCAAAGGCTTCAGAAACCTTTGAATCGTAAAGATATGCAAAAATTTTCATTTTTGACTTTTTTGCAATCACTATAACTATTTTCTTAACTAATTAACTACTGGAAGTTAATTAATTAAACTAATTTTATAGATTTTGTAAATCCAATTATTTAGTTGCCACATGCATTTGAATGCACTTCTCTTTAATTCATCTTGTTATATGTGTAATCTCTTTGTCATTTTGTAAAAAAGAATAATTAGATCGCTATTCTTCAAATCACAATTTGGAAGTCTCCTAAATTAACTTGATTTGTCTTAACTTTTATAATGTAGGTACAGCATAAACGTTGCCCTTGGCCAATGCTGCTACTCACGTTTTTTATATTTTTTGTATATTTGTATATTTTACTTAAGTCTATTACATTTTTTTAACTATTTTCAGCTTAATTAATTAGTTTTGTTGTGCAATAGCTGAAGGTGTGTGATCTTTGGAACATAAATCTCACATTTATTAAATCAAGGTTGCATTATCATTTATTGCCAACAGTTGCACATATTTTATAAATTAAGAATCATCCATTTTCCTTATATTAATTACCGTACCTTCATAAAACTCGTTTTCAAATCAATTTTCCGCTGTGGTGAGTTTTTACCATCATACTCGTCACACGTCAAATATTTCATATCTGTAGGCCAATACCCACTTTGGTACATATTCCTGCCAAAGACAAAATGAGTCATTAAGAATAATGATCAAATGATGGATTATATCTGTATAATAAAAATAACATACTTAACAGCTAAAAATGCTCTCAATGATAAATCAAAGTAAAATGCTGAAGCAATTTCTGGTTCCTCATTCATGTTGTATGTGGTTCTTATTTTTCCTAATCTATCTCTACTGGCAGCTTCTGGACTCGGTTTTAAATAGATAACTGTGGCATTGTCACAAGCGCACTTCAATTCTCCTTTATCCTGAGAAAAATAATAAATAGCAAATATAAGCATACTACCATAATAAATTTTGTATATATTTATATGCATTAGATAAAATTTATTTGGTGCTTATATTTCTGCGGGGTATGTTACAAAAAGTGCAAAAAATAGAAAATTGACTCTCATATTGTTGACTGATGTGTTTGGTTATGTGTGTGCTCCATTTATGTTTGGATGCAGTTTCTCAATATATCAATATATGTTCGGATGCAATATGAATGATTTAGAAAACTATTACAGGTACAAAAACAAACGAAAATCAAAAATATATTAAGAGTTTACAAAAATGGTGAAAAAGAGTGCGCGTAAGATTCACACGCTATTGAAGTAAAATTTGCTACTGAACAAGATGGCATTTAAGTAAAAATAAATACATTATATAACAATTTTGAATAATGTTTATTTGTAATATGGTAACACTCGTGATGCACACATTTATTAGTGTCAATCATTATACACCTTTATATAATAATAAATGATAAATTATCACACTTCAAATATGACATGATCGGTTTGTCATTGTAATTAGCATTTAGAATTTGAATTCTCATTAGAGAAATGAAGTAATTGCTGATTAAGGTTTAGGCCCTTAAAATAACCTTCAATCAAAATCAAGTTTTTCGAAAAAAGAAAATCAAAATGTAACTATACTAAAACTAATTAATAAAATTACATAAGACCAGACCAGACCAGACCAGACCAGAAAGTTCAATATCAGATGAAAATATTTTAGAAAGTAAACATGAAATTTTCTTTTAATCATAAAACTTTATGAATTGTAAGGATATACTTGACGAATAAGAGTGCCAAAAAATATGATTGACTCTGATTGTTTTAAATAAATGAAATAAAAATTAAAAATGGGAGATACTAATGTTTTATATTCAAGAGAAACTGAAAAAGGTTTATAAGCAAATTTATAAACAATCTAAATTTTACTATACCTGTGTTATCGCATACCAAGAGTACTGCCTTCCGAAATAATTATTCGCATTTGCTGCATCCAATACACTCGATACGGTTGCAAGATTTCCCAAAATGAAGAAGTTGACGATGTCCAACTTCCGAAGTTTCTCCAGTTGCTCTTTAATTTTTTCGATTGTCGGTCCGTCCACTAATGTTATCACATGCCTCGTGGGCAAATTTTGCAGAAGTGATTTATATTTATGATCCATCACTGCAAAATGAATTATTATATAAAGTAATTGCTTTGGAGATGAATGGGAATTTATTATTATATCTTTATACGTATTTATAATATATATGAAATACATATATATTATATATAATGTATATATATATATATATATATCATCCAATTTTGGTCATGTGTACCAAACTCAAAAATATTCTAGAGAAGCTGATATTAATGATAGTCTACTATAAATAATTTAATAACCTAATAAAATTTATACCCTCATGTTCAAAATTATTATTAACAAAATAACATTGTTTAAAAGTAGGCAATTTATTTTCATAGCCAATATTGCATAAATCATTTTATAACTCGGTTGTGGGTTCAACTAAAAATAGATGTGATCCAGTATAAAATAGTCACTTATCAATGTAGAGTGACAAGTGTGGTACAGCGTAGTAAATAAATATTTAAATACAAATTCAAAATGCCTTCGGTGAAACGAGTGGAAAGCAACTCATAGGACCCCCTAGAGCCCTCGAGATAGAAGCTAGAACCGAAGAAACTGATTAATTGGAATCAGATAACTCTTCCAAAATGGATGAGGTTGAATGTGCTCGAGGAAGAAAGGAATTCTGGAAAATATTAGCTGTTTTAGAACAACATCTCTTAACAATACGTGAGCAACTTACATAAAACGAATAACTTGCATGCAGAATAGCAAGTGTAGGAATTGAACAGGATTTGAAGAAGTTCCAAGAAAAGGTGTGAATTACCATAATTTACTTAAATCTAAAAATCTGCTATATAAATATGATGCTGAGGAGCTATTAAATAAAATCTTAAGAATCTTCTAGACAAAATCTTGCAGTTTATTGCATAAATGAGATTCTACATAGTCATAATCTTAAACAAATTGTGGCAGATAGAAATACTATATGGTAATAAATGTGGGAATCTAGGCAGTGGTTATTCTTTTAGATTATTACATTCTATGTTTATTTTGGAATTATATGTTTTATTTATTTTTTGTATTTCTATTTCTGCAATCATAACTTCCGTTCTATAAGCTCATGTGCTCAAACTTCTTCTTTTACGCCGTATTTAGGTGGCAGCCCAGTGGTAAACCGATCTATATTTGATTATTTTATTAGCGAAAGGTTTTTTTACTTCAAAACATATATTTGATCTATATATTTCCGAGTAAAAATGGATGTTTTCACTCCTAGATATTATATTCTTAAACAAACATTCTAAAAGCAGGGCTCTTAATATACAAATTTTTGTTGTAGTTCAGTCATTTAAGCTTAAATTAGGTAAGAACCTCGAAATTCGAGATACCCAGCTGTAAGTTGGTAAATACTTGTATTTAGCACCCTAAAAGTTGTTTCGAAACCTACAAGTGGTACGCAACATATGTAGGTTTTGAGACAACTTTTAGGGTGCAAAATACAAGTATTTACAGACTTACAACTGGGTATCTCAAATTTCGAGGTGAACTTACTATAATTACTGGACTATTGTGCTCAAGCACATTGATAATATTCAAAAAGTGCGAAAACTAAAATTTTAACTATTCTTCCTCTTACCAAAAGTATTATCAAACAGTATAGCTGCGTTCGTCATTGACTGCATTTTCACGATGGATCTGACCGATTCGGGGATGATGTCAGCTGGAGGCATTATTTGAAGTAGGTAATTTTGCTGAAATTCGTCAATTGTTCTCCATTGTCTCAAGTCGCCTTCTTGGCCAAAACAAGCGCTTACAGTTGGCAGACTGAGGGCGGCAGTAAACGATTTAACGGTTTCTGAAGAAACGCCCGTCTTCGTGGTGTCCAGGATAACATGGGGAGGTTTATTTCCAGTTATCATTTCAGAATATTTTGCGCATACTGAAAAATAGAAATTATATTTTTAATAGATACATAAAATAACATTAATACGTTCAATATCCACTGGTAATGGCATGTATTAATGTCGAATGTGTGGAACACGTAGAACTTTTTTTTTTTAAAAATTTGATATGTTTTGAAGATTTTATACATATATTTTGACTTCAGCATTTACTAAGCTCATGACAACATATAGTTTGTTTGATATTAAAACTTGTTTTTAAAAATATTAAAATAATAATAGAAAATCAAAATAAAATGCAAACTAAATACCTATAATGTTTTATTTCGTATAGCATGAATAAATTATTGTCACAATTGCTACATATTTAACTTAAGATTTTACTTTTTTTTAATTCAATAATTTTTTAACTTAAAATAAGAAATATTGCAAATAATCACATCATTTCGCTATTTTTTATAGATTTTTTTATATCAGTGCGCAATATAAATAGTCCAATACGATTTAATTAATCACTCCCTAAAATACCAAACTAAATAAAATATTTGTACAGAATATTTAGGTCACCGGATTAGGTCGCCTTCTTTCGTTGAGAATAATAAATTTGTTCTATTTTTCGATTTTTTTAGTCGTCTGAAATGATGATTCGTCTTTGAGTTTTTCGAGAATGTAATGAGATTTCTGTCGCGTACAAATGAGGAATAAAGAAATTTTGTGTAACATTAACTCTTCTTTAAAAAAATCGGTATTAAATATAACGGTAGAGGAAAAGTTCGATAAAATATTAAACTATATATAAATAAGTACATTTTAATTTTAATATTATTAATGAATTAGTAATTTTTAATACAGACTAGTTACAGACATCATAGATAAGTTAGTAATTATTAATTAACTTCCCGTAGGGTAAGTTATAGTAATAGGACAATCGAAAATATTTTTTTTTGCATTTCTTCGCGTTTTGAAGGTTTCTGAATATTTTAAAGGTTTGGTTAAAAAAACATTCGATTCCTACTGATTGGGAAATGTGTTGATTAGTTTTAGGCAATGGCAGGTCCAACCGTTTCGGAGATATCGAGTTTTTGAGAGAACTAAGCATCCTAATTGAATGATTCAAAAATGTACATGTGTTGACGAAACGATTGCTTTTGGAAAAAAAAATTGAATATTGAATCTTCCTCGAATATTTCATTACGGTACGGGAAGTTAGAGCAATTTGCACTAAGGCACGATGCCATACACCACTAGTTTACTATCAGTATTAGTAGATAGAAAATAAGATATTATACTTGTATCCCTATCTGAATAATCAAAAGAAGTAGAAAAAAAATGATTAATATTTCACAAATTGTATATACTTTGTGCAGAAACCTAATAAAACTATTTCTTTAATTTTTCTTTGATGAGAAGGAAAATTCTTTATTTCTTTAATGTATATTATCAATGATATACCATATGTTATTACAACTTAATGTCGCCGTTTTTTCTAATTTAATAATCAATTAAAAAATATTATATTATCCGAACTTGGGCCATAAACTCAGTGCAATGTGAAAAAGAGTGCGCGTAAGGTTCACACGCGATTGAAGTAAAACGTATTTGCTACTGTACAAAGTAGCAAATGTAAGTTAAGTAAAAATAAATACATCATATAACAATTTTGAATAATGCTTATCAGTAATATGGCAACACTCGTGACGCACACATTTATTAGTGTCAACTATTATACATATTTATATAATAATAAATTATAAATTAACTATTTATAATAGCATTAAAAATATGTATAATATTTAAAAACATTAGTGTAGTTAAAGTCATACTTCAAATATGACATGATCGGTTTGTCATTGTAATTAGCATTTAGAAATAAACCTTCATTAGAGAAATAAAGTAATTGCTGTTTAATAAATTCTATAATATTCGTTCACACAGTAGATTATGTTAAACAACTCCTAAACAAATATTGTTTTCTCAACTTCACTCATCACGTAGTTGTGTTCGAAGAACTTTATGTAATTAAAACAGTTTGGGCGTAACGGACTTCCGTTGCATTTGTAAGGATTAGTCGCGCCTATCGAAGTTTTGCTTCAATAGTCATACAGTTTTTCTTCTCGTGTGATAGAATTGTTCTCCATACAATTTTAAAATGTTTTTAAAACAGTTTCGACTCTTACATACAATATTTTTAATTGTATTATTATTTACCAAAGTTATTTTTAAAGATAAATTGATATTTGTTTTGATATATTATAGATAGATGTGTTTATACTCCCATTCCTCATGGATTATTGCTAAGTTCAGCGTAAAATTGGTATCACAGGTTATTTTAACCCTACTACGGAATCTATTATCTTAAGAACACTTTAGAAGTAGATCAAAAGAATTTATTTTAAGCTTACATGACTCGAGTAATCCTTTGGCATCCGTCCGATTTCCCACAACTGTCTCGAGTTCGACGGCGATGCCGAGAGTCCTTCCGCTACGTCGAATATATTCCAACGCCACTTTGACCGCCCTTTCGGCTGGCATATTTCCTTCTTCGTTTACCATCACTGGAAAAACAAAAATATTTTGTAGTTATCAAAATTAGATTCTTTGGAAAAAAAAATTAAAATATTTTTAGTTCAGGCAATTAAGCTGTCCTATTAACCCTATAATATTATTCTTTGCATGGAGAAGGAATAGTGTCTGATGATCACTATTCCTTCTCCATGCAAAGGATGATATTAATAGGGTTTGAGTAATTCATAAAATTTTACGTAATTCATCATAAAATTAACTAAATTTTGAAAAATGATGTAATATATTTCCACAAATATAGCTTCTCTGCGTTGCTATATTATTTCTTTTCTGTCTATAGTATCTGCTATGCACTCTCATTGACAGTTGTAAAGACGTAGCGAGGTGTTTTCAAATAATTGTTTAAGTGAATATGCAATTTGATTATCAGTGTCTTATTGAATATTGAATATTTGCTGTAAAAATTAGAAAACAGTTTATTTGTTTCATCGTAATCTTTGAAGAGATTGAAGAGTTATTGTCTTGTCAGTCCTCATTGTTGTCTCATATGAATTAAATTTTACAAATTAATTCACCTAAGATTTTAACTAATGTAATAATGTTGAAAATGTAATTTAGAGATTGTAATTGCCAAAAACCAACTAATATAGGGTACGCGATTATAAAAATTATAGACTATTATATATTATATAAATTATTAAAGCAATTATATAAGTTGGAATATCAAAGATTATATTGTTCTTTTACCGTAGATACTATATTTATTCTTTCTGAATTTCTTATACTGATCAAAAAACTGCAGTTTCCAATACGTATATAGCTTCTGCTAAGCTAAATCATAAATGGAAGGGCATTAAATAGAATATTAAAAAGTATAGGATAGGATATTAATTTTGAACTTAAATTGTAGACGTGGGTACTGGTCAACGTCTGTCTGGTCATCTAGTATATATATATATATATATATATATATATATACTAGCTGAACGGCAAACGCAGTATTGCCATAAAAAATATTTCTAATGTTCAGTATGATAATAACTAACTGATTTCAAATGTGGTGCATAAGTGGAAGGAGCATCTACCAAATAATATATGAAAAGTCTACCCACTCCAAAGGACGCTAGACGCTACTTATAAATGTCCCGTAGTAGTCTTTGCAAGTGCCTAACTAATATAAAACCGATTATATTTAAATTGAATTCACACATTTAAAGAGTTTTCATTACTTCATTAATTTTTGAATCCAAACAATCTCTTTCTAATTATGTTGTTACATGTCCAGTGATTTGATTCATATTGAAAACAAAATGAGAGAATGGAATATTTTACAGCTTTACCATAGATTTGTATGATATAATACAACTATCAAAAATCGCTATAACTTCAGATTTTAATATTCAATCTCCCTATTTTTTACTTGTTATGCAAACCATTTTTAAACTATGTACTGTTTGTGCACATCGGGAAATATGTGTATAATGAGAAAATGGACGGGTGGACAAACTTTGATATTTTTTTAAGTAAAATTCATGCTTTATGTTAAGGTCAGGAAAATATGAGTTGAAATTCTGTAAAAAACGCTCACTAACAGAAAGCGTGATAAAAAATTATCTCTATATATAATATTTGGATTTGTATCAGCAAATAGCATTAATATGATCCAAGTGTAAAATGATACAAGTTCAAGTTTCAAAGGTTTTCAAGAATTAAGACTTTACTAAATTATAAATTAAAATTTTCCAAATTGCCTTCCATCATAATAAGTTTTGACGCATTTAATCAGAAATGAAAAATTATAAAATGCTTGATAGTTTCTTACTTTAAAAAAATAGAGCTAAAACCTCAAAAAAATTGTTTACATTGTTTTGAAACAGATGAATTGCTAAGTTCAATTCAAATTATCATTGATTCTCAAAAATGGTTTTAATATAAAATTAATGTAAAGTTAATTTACATCTCTTAAGCTGCATAAAAGTGTAAACTATTGTCCTAAACTAGTTTAGTAATTTTTTTGTTTCCTTGCTCTTTAAACTCCTAGAAATTATTTACCTATTTGAAAAATATTATTTTATTTGCTTCATATTTTGTTAGCATCGTCTAAAATCTTTCTCACATGGAAAAAATTAAACACTCCAAAACTCCAAACAAAATATTTCTACAACTCATAGTACTCAAAATTCATTATTTAATCATTCGGTATATATTGAAGCATAGAATTATTATTTATTAGATTCTCATTCAAATAAAGCAGAGTATAATATATCAGTCAGAAAAGTGTTTTTCATGACAAAGGGTGAAAGCTGACATGTCATTGCCATTTATTGCTGGTAATGGAAATTTCTTAGTAGTCCATTATCGTCCTCAATTAGATATGTAATAAACAGATAAGTGACATATTGTTGAATGTTTTCTGGTTGAATGAATGTTTAGGAGCTAAATGATGATATGGAACAAAATATTTATCAACTTATTATGCCATTTTAACCTGCTATTCTTATTTTAAATAGAGAATGAAAGTTTATTGCAAAAGTCTATAAATTGTATGTTACCTTTTTATTTGAGTAATATTGATACTCGTGAGTAAATCTTCAATTTTCGGAACTAGTTTTTATATAACTATTTATCATCAACAGCCCATTTAATTTTATAATTATGAAATATAATTGAAATATTAATATAATGACTATAATTAATTTATTTGTTTCTGGAATTAAGTTTTTTTATTCACTGCACAGAGCTTTGAAACCAATCAAATATAAAACATATACTCTTTCCGATGTATGTCTCTATAAGATGTATTTTTTATTTTAGAATAATGAATAATTTAAAGAGTCTAATGAATAATGGATAATATTTAAACTCTTATAACTTTCTTCAATAATCAGCGCCCAAAACTCAAATATATATAAATTTAGCTATTAAATTTTTGGAATCTATGGAAGATCTGAATTGTTGAGCTAACATATTTAGAATAAGATCATTGATTGGTAAAATATTATTTATTCCAATTTTACTTATGTTTTTAAAAATAGTTGTTGAAACTAGTAGTTAGTGGTATGTAGCTTTGAAAAAATTTGCATGCATTTCCTAATATCTGTAAACAATGGACCTAATAAATAGTTATCGAGATTTATCAAATTTGACAACATTTTATTTGGTTTTCTTCGGACAATATATTTAGCATATTTAAAACAAAATCAATTATTCATACAATTTATCCCAATTTTGATTGTTTTTAAAAATTATTATTTATACAAGAAACTTGAGGAAACCTGATGATATATAAAAATAATTGACTTAATCAATAAGCATCGAAACTTTGGAATTATTTCAAATTATTACAAATTACATCAAAATATACATTAATTTTCAAGATAATATGCTGGTCTTTATGCCTTTAAAGAGTTTATAATCAAAAAGGTTTTTTTTGTTCAACATTTTATTAAAATCGTGTGGCCATCTTTTTATTTTTGAGTAGGATATTCCTCACTCAATTTGCTTAAATATTTGTATGGGTGACCTGATACTTTCAAAATTGTGTTGAAAAAATTACTATTATTTTAAACGCCAATGAATTTCTATTATTCAACCACTTTTTGTATACTTAAATTACTTAATGGTTTCTTTTAGCACTATGAACTCTATCACTTTACAATATTCAATTAGAAACTCCAAAAACATTTTTTTAACCACACTTTTTTTTCAATTTCGGTGTCGAAAGATTCAGAATGACTTGAAACGTCGACACAATATTAAATTATCAAATTGAGTTTCTCTATTTCTTATTATTAATTATTAATATCAACTATTAATCTAATTAGAAACTCTAAAAACATTTTTTTAAACACACTTTCTAATTTTGGTGTCGAACGATTCAGAATAACTTGAAACGCCAAAAAATCATTATATTACAATTTGGATTATTTAGAAAAAACATAATTCTGTGGGAAGTTAATATAAAATAATTGTTTTTTTAGTGTAGTGGAAATTGAATTTTAAGGTCAACATCTTCATGTAACCTTTCATTTTCTCGGAGATCCTAATTTTACGAGGCATTTAGGGATCCATATATATTATTCATGAATTGAAAAAAAGATTATTCCTATGAATTACTTACGGACGTTGATATTTTGCGTGGTCTGAGCATTCACCCATCCTAGAACCGTTAGACATATAATACCTATCCAGTACCAGCACCTAAAGGCCATCTCGCGCTTGTCGAAATCACCATCCACCGCCAAAAGATCAAACAAAATTTCTTAAGAAAAACTTCTATTGTTACAATAAGTTTTCACAGAAGTCCTATTACTATTATCAGATGCACGATTAATGACACCGCCGAAGTTAACTGATACGCATTGACTATATAACTTGATCACCTAGAAATATGTATTGCTTAAGGGAGGTGGGTTATTTGTCGTCCGTATGGAAAGTGGGTTTGGAGTTCGTGTTGACGTTTTGGAGTTACTATGGTGACTATTGCCGTTGTATTGTGATTATTCGACGAAAGCTTGTTTTTTGAGTAAACTTTATGTATGAGCTTCTCAAAGCTCTTGCACTCATACAAGTACTTTTTATATTGAAAAATTTCTAATGACTTTCGATTGTAATTTTGTAAACTTGTAATGGATGTATCTCGATGAGTACTATTGTTTGTCAAATTCTTGCAACGATCGGCCAAGCCGTTTCTTTATAAATAGCAGAAAAGTGAAAAAAATTTCGTCCACGTTATAGCTCGCAATTTTTAATCAATTTTGAAAATTCGAAAACCGTTCAAAAGACATTGTTTTGGAATCGTGCTGATTACTTTTTGGTAGAGGCCGGGCCTTTTTCTTGTAATAAAATGTTAAAAAAAAATTCTACGATTTTTATTATTTTTTTGACGGTAGATATCATAGTTTTCTAGATCATACTAAAATATTACCGCCCTACGACAACTCGTTTAGCTTTAAAAATTCGTCAAAGTTTGCAAAAATTAGTATCGTTTTTTGGCATTTGTCAAAATTAAACCTTTGATCGACGTTTTTACAGAAACTTCTGAACCGGTTTTAGAAATATGAAATCCATTTGATGTATCTCGATGAGGATTATCGTTTCTCAGTTTTGTGCAACGATCGGCCAAGCCTTTTCTTTGTAATTTGGAAAAAAGTGTTAAACTTTTCGTCCATATTTAAGCTCATACTACCGAATCGATTTTAAAAAATCAAAAACTGTTCGAAAGATATTAGTTGGAAATGATACTGATTAGTTTTAGGTGAAAATCTACTGAACCGTTTTCTTGTAATTAACCGTTGAAAAAAAATTAAGCTGATTTTTATGGAACTTTTTTTGACGATATATATCATGGTCTTATAGAACTTACTGTAATATTACGGTATTACGACAAGTAGTTCAATTTTGAAAATTCATCAAAGTTTGGGAAAATGAGTAGTTATTTGACGTTTGTTAAAATTAAAATTAGATGATTCACTTGGTATAACAGTAGAATACTTGGTCTTTAAACAAAATAAAGTCCTACGGAAACTGGTTCAATTATATAAGTTATTAATTTGTTAAAAAAATTTTTTGGAAAATACTCAGAGTTAGCGTGTTCGTTCGTTTTGAATTGTGTATAATGAATCTACTCGGAAGACTTTTAATCACTCACTAATTTATTTTTTATTGATTAGGTCGATTATTTACACATATCGGGAAATTCATGTAACTTGCCTCGAGGCAAAATATCAATACCAACTAGTTATATTTTTAAGCTTATTTTTATGTTTTTGGGCTCACTCGTAGGTAAGCGGTTATGAGCGACAAGACTTGATTCAAATGCCCACTTTTAACAGCCTGTTGTCAAGCAGCAGTGACAACGGTTTTTACTTGGAAATATTTCTAAGTGAAAATAGCGTTTGCCCGGCATTGCTGCACCAATAAAAAGTCAGCTCTATTATATAAATTCTAATAATAAAATCATCAAATAGGGATGGATTAATGGGTTACCATCTAAAAAATACGTAAATAAGTTTCAGCCCAACAGCTTATACGACGTAAGGTTCTGATTGCTGTTAAGATATGAAAAAAAATTATGTTCGTGTAGTTAAATATTGCAGAAAATTTGAAACAATTCTATAAATACTTATGTTATATGGATTTAAATTGGTAAGATAAAAAATTTAATCAGCGTATTACATTTGATTCATTTGATCTATTCTAAGTCATATTTGGTCATATTGATTTCCTTGCGCCTAATGGCATTCAATTCATATTATTTAGAAGCTATGATATTGCATATGCATATTTTATCGTGTTCTCTCGATGTTGTGGCTTTATTTGTGACAATTGTGGCGCCGATCGAAACCACCCGTACGATTACGGAGCTTCCACGTGTTATTTGATCGAACAAATGACCAGCAATTATGAAAAATGACAAACTTCAATAACTGAATGATTTCCATATGATACCTGTGTTTATAGAATTATTTCAGAAATATATAATTGTTTTGTAACAAAAGATTATATGATAATGGGGATTGTGCAATTAAATTTAATTTATTAATTAATTTATTATTCAATCAATATCTAGTTCTTGAATTATTTGATTACATAAAATATTTACTTTATATTCAATAATGTGCATACATGCTTTGTATAAATTTATTTAACTAATAAATTTTCCTATATCCATGTTATAATTTATGTGGTACTTATCTTGAATTATAACATGACTTCAGGTAAATAACTTCGAGGAAAAATCAATTTCAGTATTTTCATTCCATTTGTATGTAACAAAATTTTCTCCGAATTATTGACTCATAAGATGTTTCGAAATCCATTTCTATACTTCTATTTTAGTCTCATATTTTAACAGCAATCAGAACCTTACACCCTATAAGATGTTGGGCAGAAACTTTTTCTTAGAAAAAATGTGGTATTTTAGATGGCTGATCCCTCTATATTTGTTTATTTCAATTATTAGAATTCATCTATAGGACTGATATATTATTCAATCCGATGTAGCATTGACATCTTGGAAACATATTTAAGATATATATATATCCTAGTGACAATTGATAATGCTACTGCTCGATATCAGGATTTTTCGTGACAGTTAATGAACCTGCTATCAGTCTGATTGCGTCAGAAAGCCTCAATTATATATTTATAACTGAATTTTGTAATTTATTTTTCATCTTATGGACAAAAAAAGCTATGTGTTTTAGACAAAGTACAAATCTTTTCTGTAAAGTTTTAATGTTGCAATTATATCCTTTAAGAGTAAACGCGAGAGGTTTTACATGTAAGTTAAATCAATGACATTTATGTACTATTTTTGTATTGTATGCGCCAATAATTAACAATTTACACAATCTGTTAATCGGTAATATTTAACTATTTACATAATTTACTTAATCGGTATTAATAAAAATAAAATATTAATAAAAAAAGATTTAACAGAATTATGTAGTTTCAGACAATGTTCTAACAAATTTAAAAAAAAAAAATTTGCTACTTGGAGTTTTAAGCACATGCGACGATTATATAGAGAAACTAATAAAATTTATGATTAAAAACTAATATTTTATTTATAACAAAAATAAGAAAAGAGGATATACAAATTGTTATTTTCATACTAACAAGTTAATCTACACATGTCAGTCATATGTGTCTGACATATATCTTGGTAGAAGTAGAAAAAAAGTTTAATATAGGGCCATTAGACTCAAATATGTGTGACATGAAAAATATCCTAATAAAAGTAAAAAAAATCTTTGATGCATTAGGTTTCTTTGGAGTATTTTAAACTAAATTAACTCATATTGTTACTACGTCTCATTCGGTCGTTTAAAAAAAATATCACATTCTGGTGGCGATTAACATGTTAATAATATTACTTCTCTTAAAAATGCAATAAAACAAAGTCGTGCAATATATACAGACAGAACTTGTTATATTTTCAAAAGCAAGCGGTAATTTATGATAAAACTCGTATATTATTCTATAGAATTCTTGTCTAAAAAGGACTAAATATGTTTAAATAATGAAAGTGAAAGGTAACATTATTAACTTTCCGAAGAAGAAGTTTGTTTACATCGAACAATCCGATTCGCTAATGTTATGTTTTCTCGACGTTTTAAGCCATTCTGAATCGAATGAGACCAAATTTGGAAAAAGTATGTGTATGTGTGTGTGTGTGCGTGTATGTTAACAGATTTTTTGCCGTATATCGAAGTTTTCTCAAAAACGACTGGACCGATTCAAAAATTTAAAAGCCAATCGATGTATCCCGATAAGGACTAGCGTTTATCAATTTTACGCAACGATCAGCCAAGCCGTTTCTTTGTAATGTGGAAAAAAATTTGGAAAAGCTTTTCGACCACATTTAAGCTCATACTACCGAATCGATTAAAAAAAATCAAAAACTGTTCGAAAGATATTAGTTGAGAATGATACTGATTAGTTTCAGGTGAAAATCTACCGATTTCTTGTAACTAACTGTTAAAAAAAATAAGACGATTTTTATAGAACTTTTTTGGCGATATATATCATGGTCTTATAGAACTTACTGAAATATTACGGCCTTGGACAAGTACTTTAGTTTTAAAAATTCATCGAAGTTTGAGAAAATGCGTAGTTTTTTTGACGTTTGTTAAAATTAAATTTAGACGATTCACCTGGTATAACGAAAGAGTGTTTGTTTGTTTTCAATGATGTGTGATAAATCCGCTCCAAATACTTTTAATTACTCATAAATTAATTTATATTCTATTGATTAATTCGAAGGGTAAATAACACATGTCGGGAAGTTTATGTAACTTGCCTTAAGGCAAAATAGCAATACCAACTAGTTTTAATCTTTGTTTTTAGATTATTCATTAAAATTATCTAATTAATAGAACGTTTTGTTTTTCATAGTTCAGCAAGCATCTGTATAATTGCATGCGGGTTACTTAGGCGAATATATCTAAAAAATGCAAATTTGCCAGCAGATGCATAATTGCAAATGTTAAAATTATAACGGTAATAATTAAAAACACAATTGTAAAACTTTCATCTGAAACAATTTAATTGAAAATTTATTATTTATTCATTACGTAATAGATTGCAGTAATAAAAATAATAAAAATAATTTATTTGCAATGATATTTAATTTGAAGAAAAA